AGGGTTTGGGGTTCAGGGGTTTACGGCTCCAGGGTTTATGGATGATGACTGTAGGGATTTCTAGGAATCAGGAAGGCCTGCGCATGACAGCCGCCCAGGTTCCAAATCCATGGAGTTTCCAAATCCTAAACTTTTTTAAACCCCACCTCCCAAGACCCGAACGGTTAAGGTTTAAGGTTTCATTATAGGGTTTAGGGTTTATGAACGAAGAACAGCTGACGAACTCGGGACCTCGTTCATCCTCGCGTGTTCAGTTCGTCAACCGGGCATACTCACTATCGCCGCAGTCCTTGCAATTGCAGTGTCAGATTAGTTGGTGACCACGATGGTCCGCCGGTCATGCAGGCTGCCAGCGACAGACTGTTCATGCGCTTGAGACACAGCTTTTTGTCGGACGTTTCTTCCGATAGTCATCGGACTTTTGTAGTTCACAGGCCTTCCTGTGCATTCATGAATGGAGCAGCAAGCCTTAGGTGTCTCGCCTAGGGTTATGAGGTAGGCTTTTGGATGAAGGACGTAGGGTACAGGGCGTAGATCTCGAATCTCGATAGTATGGAGGTTGATTAAGGGTTTGTGAGTAGTGACTAGGGTTTGTACTTCAAGCGCGAAACCTTAGACTCGATAGAACCGCATGAACCCTTAGGGTTTAGGGTTGCAAGACCCCAAGTTTGTAGGCTCCAGGGGTCTTCACCGCAGGAGATGCTGCAGCTTGGTTGGGAGATGACTCCAGCGCCTCGGCTTGACTATCAGTGCATGTGTTAGTCAACTCGTATTGGTATGCTGACAGAACTGCAGCGCTACTGGTCCGCAATCTCAAATGAAACGCAAGCAGTTGAGACTCGTACGACTTTTATTACTGCTCTATCTATACATATTCTTGGAGCTGCTGGCATCATTACTACGGTTGACCCTAATCCCCAAACCCCACTAGGCAGGTTTTGGGTCTGTGATACTACTGTACCAGTACGGTAGTGAGAATACGCACAATTTTGCCCGCACTCTTCACCACCCAGCCTGGCAGACAGTAGCACTGCTTTTGGACAGCCCATTCTGTGGCTAGGATCCCAGAACCCTAGAGGTCCATGTGCTCATATAGTATATGC